CCCACTCTGTCTGAACAACAACAACAAAAAAACACAAAAACAAAAACAAACAAAAAAAAGTTTTCTCCTTCACCCAACAGTCCTTGGAGTGTGTCTCCCATCAGCCAGGGATTCTTCTCTATGTAAAGACCGAGATGCCAAGATTCATTCTACTTAGCGGTTGACCCCTCATCTTGTCTTTGATTGCACTCAACCCGTGGAAGGAGCAGGAGAATACCGAGTGGGGGACCCATGCCTGGAAAAATCTTGACCCAGACATGGCATCACTTCTTCTCATCAGCCTGGCCAGGCTCGGGTGCGATAAACAGAGACTGGGAGGTCTTCGAAAGGAGAGAAGACTCACTCCAGCAGCAAATCACTCTCCACGTGTCCTGGTGACTGATGGCAGCTGGGAGACACGTGTCCTATGCTGAGAGGAGTCAGGTGAGGGACACACCAGAGGAAGGAGGAGGGTGGAGGACACAGATCTGGCCATGGTCCCTCCTTTATCAAATTCCTCAAACTAGGAATTCTTTTTCTTTCTTTCTTTCTTTTTTTTAATTCTTACCTAAGGAGATTTTTTCATTTTTTGTTCAGATAAAGCGGGAGGGAGAGAGTGGAAGGGAGGGAGGGGGAGAGAGAGAGAGAGAGAGAGAGAGAGAGAGAGAGAGAGAGAGAGAAACATCGACGTGAAAGGGACACATCCAGTGGCTGCCACCCGCACGACCGACCAGGGCCGGGGACAAACTGCAACCGAGGTACATGCCCTTAGCGGGAACCGAACCCGGGTCTCTCTGGACCGCAGGCTGATGCTCTAACCACCCAGCCAAACTGGCCAGGGCCAAAACACAGTGTTTATTAAACCCTACTCTAAATTAGATATAGTTTTCTCTGTAAACCTTTTGCATGCTTATTAAAAATTTGGTCTCCTAAATAGGTATAATAAACAAATATTAGCATAATTGTTCTCCAATAAATTTTCCCTTGAAAAATTACCCTCTTTGAAGATAACAAAAATGTTCTCAATAATGCTGAAATATAACAATTGAATTTTAAATTCCTTTATTTATTTATTTATTTATTTATTTAATCCTCACCCGAGGACATTTTTTTCCATTTTTTTGCTCAGATAGAGTGGGAGAGAGAAAGAAGGAGAGAGAGAGAGAGAAACACCGACATAAAAAGGACACATCGAATGGCTGCCACACGCACCACCCAACCAGGGCTGGGGACATACGGCAACCGAGGTACATGCCCTTAGCGGGAACTGAACCCAGGTCTCTCTGGACTGCAGGCCAACGCTCTAACCGCTGAGCCAAACTGGCCAGGGCGATATTCCTGTTTTAAACAAACAAACAAACAAACAAACAAAAATCCCTAAGATTTTACTTTGCCCCTGTGAGTACCTTAAGCAATAGACTAAGTCATATTGGAAGCATTGGAGGATGACATTCTAACTACTGAGCAACACTGGCTAGGGCTGGGTCTGTTTTTTTGGGTTTTTTTTTTTGTGTGTGTGTGTGGTATGTGCCACTAGTGGGAACCGAACCTGGGACTCTGTGGTCTGCAGGCCAACGCTCAACCGCTGAGCCAAACTGGCGAGGGCTGGGTCTGTATTTCTTGAGTTTTTCAAACACTTCAGACATATGGTAAATAACTCACTACCGCCCTGGCCGGTTTGGCTCAGCGGTTGAACATCAGCCTGCGGAGCAGAGAGACCCGGGTTCGGTTCCCGCTAAGGGCACGTACCTCGGTTGCAGTTTGTCCCTGGATCTGGTTGGTCGTGCGGGTGGCGGCCACTCGATGTGTCCCTTTCACGTCGATGTTTTTTTCTCTCTCTCCCCCTCCCACTCTATCTGGGGGGAAAAAAAGAAAAATATCCTCAGGTGAGGATAAAAATAAATAAATAAATAACTCACAACAAACCTAAGTTGGTCCAACCTGTTGGGTCCAACCTAAGTTTTTCTCTTCCTGGGGTTTCAGTGGAAAATTTCATCCACACGGATAATCCAAATAGGATCCCCCAGGGTTTTTAAACCCATCACCGAGCTGGTAGGACACAGGAAGTGAGGCCTGGGGCTTCTGTATAAAAGGACATTTCAGCTCAGAGCTCAGTTGGCCAGTTCCCGACCCGGGGAAGCTGAGGGTCAGGAGCCCTGGAGGAGGTAAGGGATGCTGGGGAGATCTGAGGGCGCGGGTTCGGAAATGAGGGTGGGTGGAGGTGGGTTCCAGAGAGATTTTGGTTTGTGCTCACTGTGCGTTATTTCTGAGAACCTGTGAACACAAGGATCCTCCTGGTTCCCCACACACTTGAGACCCTAGTGTAAATCATGGTTAACACACACGGTGTGGTTTGTATTTTAAACCAGGGCTTTTCATTCTCAGCACTGTTGACATTTTTGGGCCAGATTAACATTTATTTTATTTATTATTATTATTATCATTATTATTTGTGTGTGTGGGCAGGAGGGAGCTGTCTTGGGCATCCTAGGGTGTTTAGCAATGCCTCTCCCTTCGCTCCCCCATGCCCGGTTGTGACAACCAAAAATGTCTCCCGACCTTGCCACATGTGTCTGGAGCTGGGGACCACTGGTTGAGAACCGCTGCTTTAAGTATTCATCACTCCGTGCAATAACAACGGGTCAGGCTTAGTAGCTGCACCCTCTTCCTTTATCCTCAGTGTAAGGGGTGGGTTTCATCACCCCCACCCCTCCTCTCAAGAATTATCATTCTGGGAGGGCTAGACTTGCTCAGGACATCACAGGGAAATAAATAAAAGTCTGACTGGAAATCAACCCTGAGCTCAGCAAGCTTCCCCAGTGGTTTGCAGTGTGAAGAAAGTCCACCAGTGGGGATTTTAGGCAAATGTATCACCTTTACAAACTTCTGTATGGGGTGTGGTTTTCCTGAGATTTCTATCCCTGTCACCTTACTGCTTTGAAATACTCCCTGGATTGGTACTATCCACAGGAAAACTCAAACCTTTCACGACCGACCTGATGGCAGCCTACTAGTCCTGTCAGAGCAGAGCCCAGGTTGTCCCCAGCTGGCCCCCCAGATGCTCTCTGGCACGTAAGTCCTCCCAAAGTTGAATGCTAAAAGGTTTATATTTTGTGGGGTTTTTTGTTTGTTTTTTGTTTTCAGTTAGAGGCTGTATATTTCTTTTTTTAAATGTATTTTCAATGTCAGTTGGCATACAATATTATCTGAGTCTCAGGGGTACAGCAGAGTAGTCAGACATTTATCTACCTGAAGAGGTGACCCCCAGATACGTCTCATCCCCACACTGCTCCATACGCAGTGATTACAAAATTCCTGACTATATTCCTTATGCTGTGCTTTACATCTCAATGACTGTTTTGTAATCACCAATTTGTACTTCTTAATCCCATCACCACTTCACCCACTCCCCCACCCCTTCCCATTTGGCGACCGGCTGTCTGTCTCTGTGTCTGAGTCTGTTTCTGTTTTGTTTGTTCATTTATTTTGTTCTTTAGCTTCCAGATATGTGGCATCACATGCTATTTGTCTTTCTCTGACTGTCGTATTTCAGTGAGCATAATACGCTTTAGGCCCATCCATGTTTTGGCGAATGGTAAGATTTCATTCCTTTTATATGGCCAAGTAATATTCCATTGTGTAAATGCAGCACCGCTGGATTTTTTTGTTTGTTTGTTTGTTTGTTTGTTTGTTTTTATTCCATTTGTCTATTGATGGACACTCGTGTTACTCTCATATCTTGGCCTCTGGTTTTATTTTATTTTCTGTCATTCCATGGCTTTCTTTAATGTGAAAGGAAGTCAAAGGGATTACAAATGACCAGTCAAATCCCTGCCTTCTCCTCCATTGCTTGTAACATGAAGCCTCTTTTTAAAATTTATTTTTATTGTTGAAAGTATTACCGATGTCCCTCCATTTCCCCACTGACTCCCTCCACCCCACTCCGGGGTGCCCCTCCCCCATGCATTCCCCCACTGCTGTGTGTCCATGGGTTACGCATATAATATGAAACCTCTTGATCCCCAGGGTGTCGGGCTGTCTTTTCTCAGACCTCCATGCTTTTACCTATGTTTTTACCTGCCAGACTCAGGACCCTCTAGTCCCCTCCACCACCTACCCTAGAGTCTCATCGTCCTGACTCCAGCAACCTTGCCTGACCTCCAGGTGGACCCCTACCTGTAGCTAGAAGGAACACTGGGGTGCCTCATATTCAGAGCTGTTGCACTTGAAATAACATGGCTCTCTGGAGAATAATAGAAAGAGGCTCTGGCCTTTGGTAGCTAGGTTTAGGGCCCGAGTAAAAGCTTTCTTTTAAAATCTTGTTTCCTGAAAATGTCGGAGCCTTGGGTGTTAATCCAGTGTCCCGGATGAGATTAAGTAGGAGTGCTTCGTCAATCCATTCGACCAAACAAGCGCCTGCATTATGCAGGGCAGGGGGCCAGAGGTGTAGGCACAGGGTTAACGTGGGGAGTGAGGAGAACTAGGTTCTGGTACTAGACAGTCGTGAGGACCACACAGCGTTTAGAATGCGCTTAGTGGCACAAAACTGCACCCTTTGATATATACATTTTAATCCTCAACAGAGGATATTTTCCATTGCTTATTAGATAGACTGGAAGAAAGAGAGGGAGAGAGAAGGAGAGAAACATAGATGTGAGAGACACATGGATTGATTGCCTCCCACAGGGCCTTCAGCAGGGAGGGGGAGGAAGGATTTAGAGGGGGAAGGAAGTGTGGATTAACAGGTTAATCTCATCTCATTCTTTCTCTCTCATCTTCCCCCCAGAATTCTGCATCTATTACAGAGTAAATCCCTTTTGTGGCTCTCCATTAGGTGCTGACTTCAGGAAAAGTTTGCTCTAGTCATATTAGAAAAATCTCCAGTAAATATGTCTGCAGACCAGACGTTTTCATGGGGTCATGGCAAACCCCAGGACAGCCTGGGATCTGAGCTGCCTCCAACCACAGCGCCCCATGCACACCTGACTGAAAGGGGAGACTGGGACTCTGAGATGTGGCACATGGTCTTTAGAACCTTCAGCAGCTCGGAGGAATCGGACCCGGTCAAGGACCTGCACACACTCTCTCGGCTCTGCCGTCACTGGCTGAGGCCAGATCTGCACACCATGGAGCAGATTTTGGATAAGTTGGTGATAGAGCAGTTTCTGATCTCCATGTCCCCGGAGCTCCAGGTCTTGGTCAAGGAAAGTGCTGTGGAGACTTGCAAAGACCTGGAGAACCTGCTAAGAAAGAACGAGAAACCCAAGAAATGGGTGAGTGGGACCCTCATGCTTGGCATGGGAAGAAAGGGCGGGAAAACTTACTCACTAACGTTCTTCAGATGCACATTTCCAGTTATTTGATCTCCCATCCCGAGATTCACTTTCCCGATGACCTCCTAGTAACCTCATGAGGTAGATCTATCAGGTCTGCTTCCCTGGTGAGGAAACTGAGGCACAGACATGGTAGAGTGATGGCACCTTTCTCCCCAGAGAGTGTTTGGCAATGTTGGGAGGTTCCTATTTTATTTATAGATTTTTGAGAGAGAAAAACATCAGTTTGTCATTTCACGTATTTGTGTATGCATTGGTTGATTCTTGTATGTGCCGTGACCAGAGATTGAAGCCAAAACCTTACTGTATTGGGAGGACCCTCCAACCAATTGAGGTACCTGGCCAGGGCAAGGGGTTGTTATTTCAACCAAGTAATCCCAGTCAAGTGTGACTCAGGTGGGACCCACACAAGGGAAATAATGGATCCCAGCTCTTGTTTAATTTTCTCCCCACAGACCATAGTCACCATTGAAGGGAAAATGTTTCTTGAGAAGAAGTCAGATGTCCAGACAGAGGAAGCAGAAGTCAGTGACATGGACCACGTGTGGGACTTGTCCATGAGGTCCCAATCCTTCTCATGTAAGATGGAGATCCATCCTGAGGACAGCCAGGAGGTCAACCAAGAGCTGGAGAATCAGTCAGGAATCAGTGAGATGTCAAGTGAGCAGGTGAGTGTGTGATGTCCTGACCTGGGGACAGGTGGGAAAAGGTACAAGAGGAAGCACAACTGGACCCAGGATGCATTAAATCCCTAGACATTTCTGAACCAATGTGGACAATGAAAATTCACCAACCTTGGTCCCTCCCCCACAGGCCAACCAACTCAAAACTAATTTTTCTCCAAGGCATTCCATGAAATGATAATTGGCCAAAGGTCCAGTTGTAAGAATATTTTCATTTCCTTACAATTAAAAGAGTGCTTCTCCCCCGGAGTCCTTTAGCTTCCCAGAAGACGTTTGCAAATGTCCAGAGACATTTCTGGTTTTCAACATGAGGGATGGGTGGGGGGCTTTGATATTGACATCTAGTGAATACAGACCAGGGCTGCTGTTCATTATGGTAAATGCACGACCAGGAATAACATGGACAAAATATCAGGAGTGATGACTTGAGAGATCTGGGTCTAGAATGTTTTGTTTCCACAGTCCCAGGCAGGGAGCAGTTGGGGTGACCGACAGAGGTACTCTTAGAGAATGAAGAGTGAAAGTGTAAGGTTTGGGTTTGATTTAAAGGTGTGGTGGGTACACATTAACGACAGACTTGGGAATTGGGGGTGATGAGGGTGGCCCCCACGGAAGTCTGGGCATAGCAGTTAGGAGAAAGATTTCAGGGCAGGGAGAATAGGGAAACTGAGGCAGGAAACTTAAAGCCCAAAAGCTTTTCAGGAGGCTTGTAGCAGGGCCTTACATTAAGAACAAGGTTAAAATGTCTCCTTCTGCCAGAGGAATGCAGGAGAGGAAGGGGAAGGATAAGGGGGAGCAGGAGGAATCAAAGACCACTTAGAGCAAATCATCATGAAGTTGTTAGGACAACAGGGAGGAGAAAAAAGAAGAATATAAACAAAATAATCCCAGAGCTACTATTTGTCAGGTACCTCCCATAAATTATAGGACACCCATAACAAAAAAAAAGGTGGGGGGACTTTTAGAGTTAATGTGTACCAGGAAATCTACCAGAGGAATCTAGGAAATAACAATGTGTAGACAGAAGGGTATATAAGGCAGAAACCGCCCACCCTATTGCTCTTCAGATCAGCTGAGAGCTGTCTGTGCTTCACAAGCCAAGTGTATAGGTTTACCTGCTTTGTTCCATTAATAATCGTGCATGCGGATGTGAGGGCGATCTGGCTGCGACATCTGTCACCCCATTGATCGCCAGGGTTGATTCGGCTGATCTGGCTGGCTAGGCGGGTGTCCCCCTCCTCCCTCAACTGATCGATGTTCGTCCCTCCCGAAGCTGCACGCTGGGTCAACGAGGACGACCTTCCCCCCAGAGGAGAGGACTGGTCTTCGGTCAAGGGTATACAAGTAGCTGCGCTCCCCTGCTAGAACCTCCAAACAAGCTCTCAAGGTCCATTTGTAGGAGAACGTAGGGTAGTCAGGCTTCCAAGACACCAGACACATCCAAATGAGGCGCTGTGCTTCTCCCCCAGAGCCCTTTAGCCCTTTATTTATTCCTCTATAATAAAAAAATAATAATAATTGTGCATGCTTTAATGTTTAAATAAATTTACTTGCAATAATGTTTTAATAAATACATTACACAATGTAATCAGGGTCTCCCTATAAATTGGTTTATATGAGAAGACAAGGGTCAAGGTTAGGAGCAGTCCGCTCCCTCTGATTCAAGGGCTGTCCAGAGACACCTCTCTGGTGTCTGTGAGAGGTGCATGTCACATAGCCACAAAACTGTGCTGTTAGGAATCTGGAGTCTCAGATCAGGGAGGTGGGCAGCACAGGGGAAGAGACGCCTTTCCATGTCTGAATGTAGACTTGTCTGTAATTACACTTGGTTGCCCCTTTTCAGGGAGAGAAAGTCCTCCTGCCAGAGACGATTCCCAAGAAAGGTGACCTGGAGGGTCTGAGTCCCACGCAGATGTTGGAGGAGGACCTGATGCAAGATGAAGAAGAGACCACAGTACTTACATCTCCAGAGCCTCAGCTTCTGAGGGGTCCAGGTGAGTTTGGAAATTGGGGCTTCAGAGAAATTAGTAATGTTTCCTATGCTGAGTACCGGCTGGGCACCCAGCACTATCATCTAGTGGGGACAGCTGGCTCTCAATGCCAGGCCTTTTCCATCACTGACTTTCCAGGGTCCCACAATCCAATCTCTCGGGTTTGTTGATTGATGGGAAAGTTCTCAAGCAACATCAGCAATGGTTCAATGCATTTGGTAGTGTTGCAAATGCTCTTTTTTATATGTTATGTGTTGACTCCCTTCTTTCAGAGGATTCAGTGGGTGAGAAGAACCCGCAAGAAGAAATTTGTATGGGAAATGTGGATGCTGACGTACCTTCCACCCATGTTTCACAGACAGATGTTTTGACTCAGCGTGGGAAAAAGAGGTCGTGGAAATCAAGAGGGCCCTCCAAAGGAAAAAGGGATAACACTTCCATTCCCCAAGATGTGCCTCAAGAAGGAGCCATATCGTTAGACAAAGGGAAATTCTCTGGAACACCCAAGTCAAATTCAGTTCGTGCACCAAGCACCGGGGAGCCAACTGGTCGCCGTGATGGAAAAGGAGCCACGAAACGTGCATTGTATAAATGTAAGGACTGCAGGAAAAGTTTTAGTTACGAATCTCAGTTGACTCTTCACCAGAGGACACACACAGGAGAGAGACCCTTCAAGTGCACGCAGTGTTCCAAGGGATTCATGCAGTCTTCAGACCTCCAAGTTCACCAGCGAATCCACACAGGTGAGAAGCCATACAGCTGCAATTTCTGCAAGATGACCTTCACCCACGAATCCACGCTGCGTGGCCACCAGAGGGTCCACACAAAGGAGAGACCTTACCTATGTAAAGTCTGTCACAAATCTTTCAGCCACAAAGGGAACCTCAACGTTCACCTGCGCATCCATTCTGACATGAAACCCTACCTGTGTCACGAGTGTAACCAGGCCTTCCGCCAACTGGGAACTTTGAAAAGGCACCAAAAAACACACATCAACAGGACTCCCCAGTGATCCAAGCCATTCAGCCTAACAAAAAAATTACTTAGTCACCTATGTTGCAAAAACGATGTATGATGCATTGCCCAGGCTCAGTTGGTTGGAGTGTCGTCCCATTCACCAAGAGGTGATGGGTTCGATTCCTGGTCGGGGCATGTGAGGGAGGCAGACAATAGATGACGTTTTGTTTTGTTTTCTTTTGTTTTGTGTTTTCCTTCTATCACTAAAATCAATAAAAATATTTTTAAAAAAATATAAATAGAAGAAAAATTTTAAAAACAATGTATGACATGTTAAGCACTTATGAGTTTTCTGGAACACAGTGGGGGTTTTGGAAATTAGAATTAAGATATTTGAATAGTTACTTATTTTACATACTGGTTTCCATTTCCGGTTTTATATGACCTACTGTTTTGGGGGGTTTTTTGGTTTACTGTACCATTTGTTTTCCGATGACATGCAAGTCTTGTTAGTTGTTTCAATAAATTTTTCACAATTCAACCGTTACCCCTCATTTGTCCCGTTGTCCCTTATTTCATTGTAAAATAGGATGATCCCACTACTGTGGCCAGATTACAGAATGCTCAGTTAAATCTGAATTTCAGATACACAAAATGTTTTAGATGTATTATTCATTTACCTGAAATTCACATTTCACTGAGCAATATGTGTTTCTTTTGGGAAAGACCTTTTGCCCTGGCCGGTGACTTGGTTGGTTAGAGCATCTCCTGATACACCAAGGTTGTAGGTTTGACCCTTGGTCGGGGCCCATACAAGATTATCCAATGAATGAGAAATAAGTAGAACAAAAAAATCAATGTTTCCACATCCCCTCCCTTTCTCTTTCTCTAAAATCAATTTTTATCCTCACCCGAGGACATTTTTGTTCAGATAGAGTGGGGGGGAGAGAGAGAGAGAGAGAGAGAGAGAGAGAGAGAGAGAGAGAAACATCGACGTGAAGGGACACATCGAGTGGCTGCCACCCACACGACCAACCAGAGCTGGGGACAAACTGCAACCGAGGTACGTGCCCTTAGCGGGAACCGAACCCGGGTCTCTCTGTACAGCAGGCCGACGCTCCAACCGCTGAGCCAAACCGGCCAGGGCTAAAATCAATTTTTTTTTTTTAATTAACAAATAGCCCTGGCCAGTGTGGCTAGTTGGGTTTGATTCGCAGTCAGGGCACATATCCAGGTTGCAGTTTTGATCCCCATTCAGAGCTTGTACACGAGGCAACGGATCAATGTTTCTCACATGGATGTTTCTCTCCCTCTCCCTTGCTCTCTGTTATAACCCAGTAATTCTCCATCTGCTAGAAGAAGGAACCTCTCCTGGGTTCCTTGAACCCGAGTTGTTTTTGCAAAAATTCTTGAAGAGGAAGGTATGCATCAGCCATGACCACAAGGGTATTGACCATGAGCTTAACTAATCAGGAGATGCCACACAGGGCAATGAGACATTCAAGGCTGGGGTCTAGTAAATGTTAAGAAATATAAAACGAACAACTTGTGCAGTTACTAACTGCTGATATCTGCTTCTGTACACGTAGCTTGCTTGCTCTGCTAAACTCCTGAATGACCCCTGCCCTATATAAGCAACCCTCCCCCTGAGCTCGGGGCTGCAGTTCTCTGTGTAGGTTGGCTGCAGTCCCTGCGCAGGTAATAAAGCTCCTAATATTCAAAATTATTTGATGTCTGAGTGAGGATGACTGTCCTGGGTTACAACACTCTCCAAAATTAAAAATTAAAACGATGATGTTAGCTAAATAACGTTAAAATATAAAAATAAATATAGACTTCCGGTCAAGATGGCGGGTAGGTAAACGTGGTATCGCGTCCTCCCACAACCACATCAAAGTTACAACTAAACTACAGAAAAACCATCATTCAAAACTGCCTGAAATCAAGCTGAATGGAAGTCCTACAGCTACAAAATTGAAGCAGCCACATCCAGACTGGTAGGAGGGGCGGAGGCTGTCGGGCTGGTCCCACACCCACGTGTGGCGGATAAAAATCAGGAGGCTCCCGCGGCTGGGAAGGTCCTTCCTGAGGACTGAGGGGTCCCCGTCCCACACCAGGCTCCCTGCTCAGGGTTCCAGTGCAGGAAGAGAAGTCCCCATAACTTCTGGCTGGAAATACCAGCGGGAACTGAGGCTCAGGGAGGCTGAGGCGGCTGGAGCCCCAGGCAGCTCCTTAAAGGGCCCGCACACGGACTTATGGGACTCTCTCCATCTAAGCTCGGAAGGGAGGCAGCTCGAGGGGCACCAGAGTCATACAGGGAAGAACTGAGCTGTTTGGCACTGGAGCGAGGGCTGGAGAGGGGGCTTTCTCCGGACAAACGTGCTGTCAGAGGCCTTTGTTCCTTTGGTGAGCCCTTCCCGGGGGAGGCAGACAGCCCCCATATCTGGGACTTCAGCAACCTGGCTCACACTGGTAGCCCCGCCCTGGTGACTCCCTGAGGCCCTGCCCCGCCCAACTTCCAGGCCCACCCAAGCTGTTGCCACTTGCTTAACCATAGGATTGGCCTGTCTTGGATCCTGCTTCAGGTTTTTCCTAAATTCTTTCAAATGAGCAGCATCTGGTCTCAGCTACCCCCATACCTCTCATTAAGTAATACACTGAAACAAACACAGGGAGGCAGCCAAAATGAGGAGACAAAGAAACAGGTCCCAAATGAAAGAACAGAACAAAACCCTAGGAAAAGAACTAAGCGAAATGGAGATAAGCAACCTAACAGATGCTGAGTTCAAAACACTGCTTATAAGGATGCTCAATGAACTTAGTGAGAACCTCAGTGAACTTAGGGAGGGCCTCAAGAGCATAAAAAAGGACCAGACAGAAATCATGGATACACAGTTAGAATTGAAGGAGGCATTAACTGAAATAAAGAATAATTTACACAGTTTCAATAATAGAGTACGTAAATCCAAGGAGCAAACCATTGATTTGGAATATAAGGAAGCAAAAAACACCCAATCAGAACAGCAAAACGAAAAAGAATCCAAAACAATGCGGATAGTGTAAGGAGCCTCTGGGAAAACTTCAAGCGTGCCAACATTCGCATCTTGGGGGTGCCGGAAGGAGAAGAGAGAGAACAAGAAATCAGCCCTGGCCGGTTTGGCTCAGCGGTTAGAGCCTCAAAGAGTCTTCTAAACCCCTCTTCCGAAGAAACTGAGGACGTTGTGAATGGCCCGCCCCTGGGGGAGGGGACATACCCCTACCATTGAATATTGACGGGACCCTGCGCAAGAGCTAAACCCCAGCAAATATTCTGGAAATGTCCCCAGACCAGAAGCGACGGCGTCACCTGGAAGTTTGTAAAAGTGCTGATTCTCAGGCCATTAAAAATAACCTCTTTTTAAATAGTTTACTGATTTTGAGAGAGAGAGAAACATCGATGTGAGAGTGAAACACTGATCCGTCCCCTCCTGCGCGCCCCCTACTGGGGATCGAGTCCTAAACCGACTTGTGCCCTGACCGGGAATCCAACCTGCAACTTTTCGGTGCACGGGAGGACGTCCAACCAACTGAGCAGCACCGGCCAGGGCTCAGGTCATCAAACATAGAGAAAAGCTGAGAAACGGTCACAGCACCAAGAGGAGCCTGAGGACACAAGAACTACATGCAATGTGCTGTCCTGGAACAGCAGCACCTGTGAATGCCGAGGAAATGTCACTCAAGGCCGAGCCTCGGTTCATTTCCCTGGATCAAGTCCGTCCTCCCTCGTGACAAATGTACAATATTAATGCGCGACGTGAATGGCAGCAGAAATGATGTGCGACGTGGCAACCCCAGGTCTTCAGGAACCTATCCTGAAACTCAGCTCATCTTACAATTCAGATGCTCTGACCCCCACCCCACAACCGCCAAGGCAGAAGCGGAGTGTGGGGCCTCTGGTGTGTGGATTAATGAAGCCCTCAGGGGTGCTGATGTCATGAAATTAAGGTCAACTAGTAGCTAGTGGCTCAGAAGACCTCTGTCATCAGAGAGTCCAAGTGGGAATGCATGGGTTACCCAATTTAGCAAATAAAAAACCAGGATGAACGGACAGAGAAGAAAAGATTCCTGTGTGAGACTGCCCTGGTGGGTACACGTCATGGTGTATCTGTCCAAACCCACAGAGTGTACAGCCCGGGGAGTGAACCTAATGTAGACTATGGGTCACAATGACATGTCAATATCGGTTTATCCATTGCAGCAAATCTGTATGGTGGGGGTGTTGATAATAGGAGAGGCCATGTGTGTGAAGGGCGGGGGGATGGGGGGAATAAGGGAAATCACTACCTTCCTCTCAATTGTGTTGTGAACCTACAACTGCTCCAAAAAATGTCTACTTTTAGTTTATTTTTATATTTATATTTTAAAGTTATTTAGCTAACATCATCGTTTTAATTTCTTATTTTTAAATTTGGAGGGAGAGGGAGGGAAACATCCATGTGAGAAACAATGATCCGTTGCTTCCTGTACGAGCTCTGAATGGGGATCGAAACTGCAACCCGGGTATGTGCCCTGATTGAGAATGAAACCCCAATTGAGCCACACTGGCCAGGGCTATTTTTTAATTTAAAAAAAATTGATTTTAGAAAAAGAAAAGGAGGGGGGGTGTGGAAACATCAATTTTTTGTTCCACTTATTTCTCATTCATTGGCTAACTCTTATATGGGCCCCGACCGAGGGTCAAACCTACAACCTTGGTGTATCAGGAGATGCTCTAACCAACCAAGTCACCAGCCAGGGCAAAAGGTCTTTCCAAAAAAACACATATTGCTCAGTGAAATGTGAACTTCAGGTAAATGAATTAATACATCTAAAACATTTTGTGTATCTGAAATTCACATTTCACTGGGCATACTGTAGTTAATCTGGCCGCAATACTGGGACCTTCCTATTTTACAATGAAATAAGGGACAACGGGACAAATGAGGGGTAACGGTTGAATTGTGAAAAATTTATTGAAACAACTAAGAATTGCATGTCATCGGAAAACAAATGGCACAATAAACCAAAAAAAACCCCCACAAAACTTTAAAAAAACAGTAGGTCCTATAAAACCGGAAATGGAAACCAATATGTAAGATAAGTAACTATTCAAATATCTTAATTCTAATTTCCAAAACTCCCACTGTGTTCCAGAAAACTCATAAGTGCTTAACATGTCATACATTGTTTTTAAAATTTTTCTTCTTTTTATATTTTTTAAAAAATATTTTTATTGATTTTAGTGCTAGAAGGAAAACACAAAACAAAACAAAACAAAACAAAATGTCATCTATTGTCTGCCTCCCTCACATGCCCTGACCAGGAATCGAACCCATCACCTTTTGGTGAATGGGACGACACTCCAACCAACTGAGCCTGGGCAATGCACCATACATCGTTTTTGCAGCATAGGTGACTAAGTAATTTCCTTTTTAGGCAGAAGGGCTTGGATCACTGGGGAGTCCTGTTGATGTGTGTTTTTTGGTGCCTTTTCAAAGTTCCCAGTTGGCGGAAGGCCTGGTTACACTCGTGACACAGGTAGGGTTTCATGTCAGAATGGATGCGCAGGTGAACGTTGAGGTTCCCTTTGTGGCTGAAAGATTTGTGACAGACTTTACATAGGTAAGGTCTCTCCTTTGTGTGGACCCTCTGGTGACCACGCAGCGTGGATTCATGGGTGAAGGTCATCTTGCAGAAATTGCAGCAGTATGGCTTCTCACCTGTGTGGATTCGCTGGTGAACTTGGAGGTCCGAAGACTGCATGAACCCCTTGGAACACTGCGTGCACTTGAAGGGTCTCTCTCCTGTGTGTGTCCTCTGGTGAAGAGTCAACTGAGATTCGTAACTAAAACTTTTCTTGCAGTCCTTACATTCATACAATGCACGTTTCATGGCTCCTTTTCCATCACGGCGACCAGTTGGCTCCCCGGTGCTTGGTGCACGAACTGAATTTGACTTGAGTGTTCCAGAGAATTTCCCTTTGTCTAATGATATGGCTTCTTCTTGATGCACATTTTGGGGAATGGAAGTGTTATCCCCATGGGTGGAAGGTACGTCAGCATCCACATTTTCCGTACAAATTCCTTCTTGCGGGTTCTTCTCACCCACAGAATCCTCTGAAAGAAGGGAGTCAACACATAACATGTAATAAAGAGCATTTGCAACACTACCAAATGCATTTGAACCAATGCTGATATTGCTTGAGAACTTTCCCATCAATCAACAAACCCGAGAGATTGGATTGTAGGACCCTGGAAAGTCAGTGATGGAAAAGGCCTGGCATTGAGAGCCAGCTGTCCCCACTAGATGATAGTGCTGGGTGCCCAGCCGGTACTCAGCATAGGAAACATTACTAATTCCTCTGAAGCCCCAATTTCCAAACTCACCTGGACCCCTCAGAAGCTGAGGCTCTGGAGATGTAAGTACTGTGGTCTCTTCTTCGTCTTGCATCAGGTCCTCCTCCAACATCTGCGTGGGACTCAGACCCTCCAGGTCACCTTTTTTGGGAATCGTCTCTGGCAGGAGGACTTTCTCTCCCTGAAAAGGGGCAACCAAGTGTAATTACAGACGAGTCTACATCCAGACATGGAAAGGCGTCTCTTCCCCTGTGCTGCCCACCTCCCTGATCTGAGACTCCAGATTCCTAACAGCACAGTTTTGTGGCTATGTGACATGCACCTCTCACAGATACCAGAGAGGTGTCTCTGGACAGCCCTTGAATCAGAGGGAGTGGACTGTTCCCAACCTTGACCTTTGTCTTTTCATATAAACTAATTTATAGGAGAGACCCTGACTGCATTGTGTAATGTATTTATTAAAACATTAATGCAGCCCTGGCCGGTTTTGGCTCAGCGGTTAGAGCTTCGGCCTGCGGTCCAGAGAGACCCGGGTTCGGTTCCCGCTAAGGGCACGTACTTCGGTTGCAGTTTGTCCCCGGCCCTGGTTGGTCGTGCGGTGGCAGCCACTCGATGTGTCCCTTTCACATCGATGTTTCTCTTTCTCTGTCTCTTCCTCTCTCTCCCTCCCACTCTATCTGTACAAAAAATGGAAAAATGTCCTCGGGTAAGGATAAAAAAAAAAAAAAAATTAATGCAGCCCGGTCTGTGTGGCTCAGGGGTTGAACATTGACCCATGCATTAAGAGGTCGCTGGTTCAATTCCCAGTCAGGGCACAGGCCCAGCTTGTGGACCCGATCCCCAGTGGGGGGCATGCAGGAGACAGCCAACTGATGTTCTCTCTCATGGATGTTTCTCTCTCTCTCCCTCTCCCTTCTTCTCTCTCTAAAAATCAATAAAAACATTTTAAAAAATTAATGCAAATGAATTTACTTAAACATTAAAGCATGCATAATTACTAATGGAACAAAGCATGTAAACCTATACACTTGGCTTGTGAAGCACAGACAGCTCTCAGCTGATCTGAAGAGCAATAGGGTGGGCGGTTTCTGCCTTATATACCCTTCTGTCTACACATTGTTTTGTAGATTCCTCTGCTAGATTTCCTGGTACAGATGAACTCTAAAAGTCTCCCCCCCTTTTTTGTTATGGCTTTCCTATAATTTATGGGAGGTACCTGAGAATTAAAGAGTAGCTCTGGGATTTTTTTGTTTATATACTTTTTTCTCCTCCCTGCTGTCCTAACAACTTCACGATGATTCGCTCTGAGAGGTCTTTGATTCCTCCTGCTCCCCCCTTTCCTTCTCCTTCCTCTCCTGCATTCTTCTGGGGGGAGAGGTTTTAACTTTATTCTCAAGGTAAGGCCCTGCTACAAGCCGCTTGGAAAGCTTTTGGGCTTTATTTAAGTTTCCTGCCTCAGTTTCCCTATTCTCCCTGCCCTGAAATCATTCTCGTAGCTGCTACGCCCAGACTTCCATGGGGGTCACACCCATCACCCCCAATTCCCAAGTCTGTCATTAATGCATACCCACCATACCGTTAAATCAAACCCAAACATTACAGCTTCACTCTTAATTCTCTAAGAGTACCTCTGTCGGTCACCCCAACTGCTCCCTGCCTGGGACTGTGGAAGCAAAACATTCTAGACCCAGATCTCTCCAAGTCATCACTCCTGATATTTTGTCCATGTTATTCCTGGTCGTGCATTTACCATAATGAACAGCAGCCCTGGTCTGTATTCACTAGATGTCAATATCAAAGCCCCCCACCCATCCCTCATGTTGAAAACCAGAAATGTCTCTGGACATTTGCAAACATCTTCTGGGAAGCTAAAGGACTCCGGGGTAGAAGCACTCTTTTAATTGTAAGGAAATGAAAATATTCTTACAATTGGACCTTGGCCAATTATCATTTCATGGAATGCCTTGGAGAAAAATTAGTTTTGAGCTGATTGGCCTGTGGGGGAGGGACCAAGGTTGGTGAATTTTCATTGTCCACATTGGTTCAGAAATGTCTAGGGATTTAATGCATCCTAGGTCCAGTTGTGCTTCCTCTTGTACCTTTTCCCACCTGTCCCCAGGGCAGGACATCACACACTCACCTGCCCACTTGACATCGCACTGATTCCTGACTGATTCTCCAGCTCTTGGTTGACCTCCTGGCTGTCCTCAGGATGGATCTCCATCTGACTTTCACAAGATTGAGGTGTCATGGACAAGTCCCACACGTGGTCCATGTCACTGACTTGTGCTTCCTCTGTCTGGACATCTGACTTCTTCTCAAGAAACATTTTCCCTTCGATGGTGACTATGGTCTGTGGAGAGAAAATTCAATAAGAGCTGGGATCCATTATATCCCCTATGTAGGTTCCACCTGAGTCACACTTGACTGGGATTACTTGTTTGAAATATCAACCCCTTGCCCTGGCCAGATACCTCAATTGGTTGGAGGGTCCTCCCAATACACTAAGGTTTTGGCTTCGATCGCTGGTCACGGCACATACAAGAATCAACCAATGAATACACAAATACGTGAAATGACAAACTGATGTTTCTCTCTCTCAAAAATCTATAAATAAAATAGAAACCTCCCAACATTGCCAAACACACTCCGGGGAGAAAGGTGCCATCACTCTACCATGTTTGTGCCTCAGTTTCCTCACCAGGGAAGCAGACCTGATAGATCTACCTCATGAGGTTACTAGGAGGTCTTTGGGAAAGTGAATCTTGGGATGGGAGATCAAATAACTGAAAATGTGAGTCTAAAGAATGTTAGTGAGTAAGTTTGCCCACCCTTCCTTCCCATGCCAAGCATGAGGATCCCACTCACCCATTTCTTGGGTTTCTCATTCTTTCTTAGCAGGTTCTCCAGGTCTTTGCAAGTCTCCACAGCACTTTCCTTGACCAAGACCTGGAGCTCCGGGGACATGGAGATCAGAAACTGCTCTATCACCAACTTATCCAGAATCTGCTCCATGGTGTGCAGATCTGGCCTCAGCCAGTGACGGCAGAGCCGAGAGAGTGTGTGCAGGTCCTTGACCGGGTCCGATTCCTCCGAGCTGCTGAAGGTTCTAAAGACCATGTGCCACATCTCAGAGTCCCAGTCTCCCCTTTCAGTCAGGTGTGCATGGGGCGGTGTGGATGGAGGCAGCTCGGATCCCAGGCTGTCCTGGGGTTTGCCATGACCCCATGAAAACGTCTGGTCTGCAGACATGTTTACTGGCGATTTCTCCAATATGACTAGAGCAAACTTTTCCTGAAGTCAGCACCTAATGGAGAGCCACAAAAGGGATTTACTCTGTAATACATGCAGAATTCTGGGGGAAAGATGAGAGAGAAAGAATGAGATGAGATTAACCTGTTAATCCACACTTTCTTCTCCCTCTAAATCCTTCCTCCCCCTCCCTGCTGAAGGCCCTGTGGGAGGCAATCAATCCATGTGTCTCTCTCACATCTATGTTTCTCTCCTTCTCTCTCCCTCTCTTCCTTCCACTCTATCTAATAAGCAATGGAAAATATCCTCTGTTGAGAATTAAAATGTATATATCAAAGGGTGCAGTTTAGTGCCACTGAGCTCATTCTAAACGCTGTTTGGTCCTCACGACTGTCTAGTACCAGAACCTAGTTCTCGTCACTCCCCACGTTAACCCTGTGCCCACCCCTCCGGCCCCCTGCCCTGCATAATGCAGGCTCTTGTTTGGTCGAATGGATTGACGGATCACTCCTACTTAATCTCATCCGGGACTGGATTAACACCCAAGGCTCCAACATTTTCAGGAAACAAGATTTTAAAAGAAAGCTTTTACTCGGGCCCTAAACCTAGCTACCAAAGGCCAGAGCCTCTTTCTATTATTCTCCAGAGAGCCATGTTATTTCAAGTGCAAAGCTCTGAATATGAGGCATCCCAGTGTTCCTTCTAGCTACAGGTAGGGGTCCACCTGGAGGTCAGGCAAGGTTGCTGGAGTCAGGAGCATGAGACTCTAGGGTAGGTGGTGGGGGGACTAGAGGGTCCTGAGTCTGGCAGGTGAAAACATAGGTAAAAGCATGGAGATATGAGAAAAGACAGCCCGACACCCTGGGGATCAAGAGGTTTCATGTTACATGCGTAACCCATGGACACACAGCAGTGGGGGAAAGGCGTGGGGGAGGGGCACCCCGGAGTGGGGTGGAGGGAGTCAGTGGGGAAATGAAGGGACATCGGTAATACTTTCAACAATAAAAATAACTTTTAAAAAGAGGCTTCATGTTACAAGCAATGGAGGAGAAGGCAGGGATTTGACTGGTCATTTGTAATCCCTTTGACTTCCTTTCACATTAAAGAAAGCCATGGAATGACAGAAAATAAAATAAAACCAGAGGCCAAGATATGAGAGTAACACAAGTGTCCATCAATAGACAAATGGAATAAAAACAAACAAACAAACAAAAAAATCCAGCGGTGCTGCATTAACACAATGGAATATTACTTGGCCATATAAAAGGAATGAAATCTTACCATTCGCCAAAACATGGATGGGCCTAAAGCGTATTATGCTTACTGAAATACGACAGTCAGAGAAAGACATATAGCATGTGATGCCACATATGTGGAAGCTAAAGAACAAAATAAATGAACAAACAAAACAAAACAGACTCAGACACAGAGACAGACAGCCAGTCGCCAAATGGGAAGGGGTGGGGGAGTGGGTGAAGAGGTGATGGGATTAAGAAGTACAAATTGGTGATTACAAAACAGTCATTGAGATGTAAAGCACAGCATAAGGAATATAGTCAGGAATTTTGTAATCACTGCATATGGAGCAGTGTGGGGATGAGACGTATCTGGGGGTCACCTCTTCAGGTAGATAAATGTCTGACTACTCTGCTGTACCCCTGAGACTAAGATAATATTGTATGCCAACTGACATTGAAAATACATTTTAAAAAAGAAATATACAGCCTCTAACTGAAAAACAAAACAAAACAAAACAAAAAATATATATATATAAACCTTTTAGCATTCAACTTTGGAGGGACTTACGTGCCAGAGATCGTCTGGGGGGCCAGCTGGGGACAACCTGGGCTCTGCTCTGACAGGACTAGTAGGCTGCCATCAGGTGGTCGTGAAAGGTTTCAGTTTTCCCTGTGGATAGTACCAATCCAGGGAGTATTTTAAAGCAGTAACGTGACAGGGTTAGAAATCTCAGGGAAACCACACCCCATACAGAAGTTTGTAAAGGTGATACATTTACCTAAAATCCCCACTGGTGGACTTTCTTAACACTGCAAACCACTGGGGAAGCTTGCTGAGCTCAGGGTTGATTTCCTGTCAGACTTTTATTTATTTCCCTGTGATGTCCTGAGCAAGTCTAGCCCTCCCAGAATGATAATTCTTGAGAGGAGGGGTGGGGGTGATGAAACCCACCCCTTACACTGAGGATAAAGGAAGAGGGTGCAGCTACTAAGCCTGACCCGTTGTTATTGCTTGGAGTGATGAATACTTAAAGCAGCGGTTCTCAACCAGTGGTGCCCCAGCTCCAGACACATGCGGCAAGGTCGGGAGACATTTTGGGTTGTCACAACCGGGCATGGGGGAGCGAAGGGAGAGGCATTGCTAAACACCCTAGGATGCCCAGGATAGCCCCCTCCTGCCCACAAAAAAGAGAAAAATTTAAATAAAGGTTAATCTGGTCCTGGCCAGTTTGGCTCAGCAGTTAGAGCATCAGCAGGCGATCCAGAGAGACCCGGGTTCGGTTCCCGCTAAGGGCACGTATCTCGGTTGCAGTTTGTCCTCGGCCCTGGTTGGGGTTATGTGGGAGGCAGTCACTTGATGTGTCTCTGTCCTATCAATGTTTCTCTCTCTCACTCGCTCTTCCTCCCTTTCTGTCTGAAGATAAATGAAAAAAAAAATGTCCTCCCCGGATGAGGGTTAAAAAAATAATAATAAAATAAAATAAAATAGCCCTGGCCGGTTTGGCTCAGCGGTAAGAGCATCGGCCTGTGGTCTAGAGAGACCTGGATTTGGTTCCCACTAAGGGCATGTACCTCGGTTGCAGTTTGTCCTCGGCCCTGGTTGGGTCGTGCAGGTGGCAGCCACTCGATGTGTCCCTCTCCTGTTGATGTTCCTCTCTCTCTCTCTCCCTCCCTCCCACTCTATCTGAACAAGAAAGGGAAAAATGCTCTCAGGTGAGGATAAATAAATAAATAAATAAATAAATAAAATTAAATAAAATAAAAGTTAATCTGGCTAAAAAAATGTCAACAGGACTGAGAATGAAAAGCTCTGGTTTAAAATACAAACCACACCATGTGTGTTAACCATGATTTACACTAGGGTCTCAAGTGTGTGGGGAACCAGGAGGATCCTTTGTTCACAGGTTCTCAGAAATAACGCACAGTGAGCACAAACCAAAATCTCTCTGGAACCCACCTCCACCCACCCTCATTTCCGAACCCGCGCCCTCAGATCTCCCCAGCATCCCTTACCTCCTCCTGGGCTCCTGACCCTCAGCTTCCCCGGGTCGGGAACTGGCCAACTGAGCTCTGAGCTGAAATGTCCTTTTATACAGAAGCCCCAGGCCTCACTTCCTGTGTCCTACCAGCTCGGTGATGGGTTTAAAAACCCTGGGTGATCCTATTTGGATTATCCGTGTGGATGAAATTTTCCACTGAAACCCCAGGAAGAGACAAACTTAGGTTGGACCACGCAGGTTGGCCATCCAGTTGTTTAGCATATGTCTGAAGTGTTTGAAGAACTCAGGAGATACAGACCCAAACCCTGTTGCTCAGTAGCTAGAGTGTCATCCTCCAATGCTTCCAATATGACTCAGTCTGTTGCTTAGGCTCTGGATAAGGGCAAAGTAAAATCTTAGAGATTTTTTTGTTGATGTTTAAAACAGGAATATCTGCCCTGGACAGTCTGGCTCACTGGTTGGCCTGCGGACCAGAGAGTCCCGGCTTCGGTTCCTGCTAGGGGCATGTACCAAAAAAAAAGAAAGAAAGAAAGGGGTACTCTTATAGTAAAAAAAATGAGATTAAGAAAAAACACAGGGCCCTGGCCGTTTTGGCTCAGCGGTTAGAGCGTCGGCCTGCGGTACAGAGAGACCCGGGTTCGGTTTCCGCTAAGGGCATGTACCTCGGTTGCAGTTTGTCCCCGGCCCTGGTTGGGTCTTGTGGGTGGCAGCCACTCGATGTGTCCCTTCACATCGATGTTTCTCTCTCTCTCTCTCTCTCTTCCTCTCTCTCCCTCCCACTCTATCTGAACAAAAAAAAAAAGGAAAAATGTCCTCGGGTGAGGATAAAAAAAAAAAGAAAGAAAAAACACAGGAATATCTTGTCAATGGAATAAAGATTTTAAAATTCAATAGTTATATCTCAACATTATTGAGAACATTTTTGTGTTATTTTCAGAGGGTAAGTATTTTAAGGGAAAATTTCTTGGAGAACTATTATGCTAATATTTATTTATTATCTATGTAGGAGACCAAATTTTTAATGAGCATGCAAAAGGTTTGCAGAGACAGCTGTATCCGATTTAGAGTAAGCTATAATAAATGCTGTGTTTTGGAAACTTTATGTCACAAGTTCGCTTGCTGTTTTTTAAAATTAAAATTTCAGAAATATATATAAATAACCCTGGCCGGTGTCGGTCTGCGGTCCGGAGAGACCCAGGTTCGGTGCCCGCTAAGGGCACGTACCACGGTTGCACTTTGTCCCCAGCCCCAATTGAGGTTGTGCGGGAGACGGCCACTCGATGTGTCCCTTTGACATCGATGTTTCTCTCTCTCTCTCTCCCTCTCTCTCCCTCCTACTCTATCTGAACAAAAATGGAAAAATGTCCTCGGGTGAGGATAAAAAAATATAAATAAATAAATCTTATTTATTGATTTTCTAGACAGAGAGAGAGAGAGAGAGAGAGAGAGAGAGAGAGAGAGAGAATGAATGGGTGTTGCACTTACTTATACATTCATTGGTTGATTCTTATATGTGCCTGACCAGGGATGAAACCTGCAACCCAGGTACATGGTCTTGACAGGGAATTGAACCCGAGATGCTTCCTCCAGGGCCCAGCCTACTCTCTATGCACTGAGCCACACTGGCCAGGACTGGGCTCTCATTTTGTTTCAACCTAGACCATGCAGTGCACTGTGGGCTTAGTGATTAGATTGGGAAGACATCAAGGTTGGCCAGATCCCTACCCAGACACGATGCCTTGTTCAATGCCTCCATAGCAAA